CGTGCTTGGACTCCGAGAGAGGCCCGTCGAATAGGGCCATGTACTCATCGAAATCGCCCTCCGCATCGGCCTGCGACGCCTGATCCTGCTGGCGGACTCCCAATTTTGCCATCAACACGTTCTGGGCTTGCACGGTCGGGTTGGAGGCTCTGCATCTGCTCTTGGTCGCCAGCCTCCCGCTTCGACGTGGCGTTGAGAATGTGGTCTCAACCGCACGACGCCTCCTAGGAACACGGAGACGTGGAGGTTCGACCAAGATCGGCTCCGTGATGGCAGAGCAAAGCTGCGACTGCAGATACTGCGAGAGTGCACTTGGTGACACCGGAGCTGGCGCCACAGCCGTCGCCGCGCCCACGGGCGACAAGTCCACAGGCTGGGAAGGAACTCTGGACGGTGACCCCGCGTGGCCCGAGTGCTCCTCGTCCGAAGAAGGGGACGAGGGAGATGGGCCAGCGAGCTCCACATTGACGCAGTCGGCCCCCCAACCGGAGGAAACATCCTCGAGATGTGAAGGCGCGGTCAAGTCAGTCGATCCACCAAGCTGCGCCGGGCGTTAACTGTTAGCTACATTTTCATTTCCATAATTCCATTCAATCCATTCTCTTCTGCTTGCAAATGTTCTATTTAGTTAACAAATGCATTTATATATGCAGGTTCATCCTCATACATCCATTGAAGGCCTTGATGAGCTCTCCACGCTCCTGCAAGTCCCTCTTGTCGCTGGAACCGTGAACAGAGGTAGCGAGGTCATGCTGCAGGCATGACAGTGAACGACTGGACTGCTTTTTGTGGCTCGGACACGACGGCCACCGAGCTCTCAGTCATTGAGAGCGTCTTCAAGCTGAGAGAAGGGCAGCCCACGGCATTTGTGGACGACATGAGGAAGTCTCTGATAGACAGTTGTGTAGCTGGGGCCCGGCAGCTGTGGGTCTCAAAGTATTGCCTCTGCTATGATGTACTGCAAACTAGTACAACTTGAGTTATCAGTAGCACAACATAACCCTCTGATATAGTCGTGGTGTATCTTTGGTTTCTGAATCGTAGACTTGCGTTATTAAAGCTCGTGCTATATGAGTGAAACGAGCCCACTAGTTTTATTAAGTTTCAGCATGGACGTGTACGCTTCCTGATTGAGAAATACCTGTGAAGTAAAATTTTGTTCTGAATTCATTTGTTTGGAAAGTCCAAATTTTTAGCCTAATTTCTTCAAACTCTAGCAATCTGGCATCCATCCGGGATTTTTCCAAAGATTTAAAAAGTAAAGCAAACGTAAGTACATGTCGTACTCAACAAATATAACATGGAGTTCATGAGGCTCAAAAGGCTGACACTGGTTCAACTGCGATTAGCTTTTAATGAGTCATCTTTTAGCAATTGGGTGGTAACAAGTTTATTCACAAGCCCATGTAAACACATGATCAGGTAAACATGAATAATGAATAGCATAAACAGTAATTATTAGTGAGCATCTTTATCATCAGTGTTTATCATCTATTCTGTAAATGTTCTAAGGCCGCTCGTGACTGTGATCACGGCTGATATACCAGTTTTACACTCTGCAGAGGTTGTACACACTTTTACTGTGAGTCGTGATTTACCCTTTCGCCTGAGATAGCTAATCTCTTGACTCACTTCCAAGGAAGGTCGGGAGGGTTCACTATGAAGCCTTTCAAAGGTTCATCTAACAAGTTAGGGTCATTAGATTCACTCGGCAAATAGATGTAGAGCCCCTTCCTGATGGCACAATGACGCGCAACCTATACACAAGGGGACAGAGGCCGCACTATAGCCGATTCATCAAGCTATTCTTACGCCAATAAAGGTAACCACTAACAAGCTAGAAAAAGGTCCTCATACTGAGTTAAAATCAGAGCCATGTAGCCCTCACAGCTGTACTGTAAGCCCCGGATGATCACTTACAGATAAGTCCTTAGGAGAGGAATCTAAAGCACCATCAAAACAGTCCAATGCTCTAGCCCTCTGATTCCATGTTGCTAAAAAGCATCTTTTAGTGTTCATTGCATATACCATTAGTCAAGTTACAAGACAATGGCTTTAGTTGAGCACTAGCAAAGCTACCCAATACAATAACCCAAAGATATCAAGGCACAAGGTACAAAGTACTAGAAAATCCTTAGTGGTAATCAAGGTAGACACATGCAGAATAAATTAAATGATTAAAGGTATATAGGACAACAAGGAAGATCTCATATTATACTTGTATTAAACTTATATTCTTCTTTTATTGATTCGTAGCCTCCAAAGAACTGCTTCTTGATCACCACGTATAGCTCACCGACTAGACATGATCATAAAAACACCACACAAGCATCCATGCAATCATACACGAAGCAAACAATAGATCTAAATTAGAACAGTACACCAACCATAATAAACATCAAGTAAAAAGGTTTTAAAGATGTTCTACACGTTGCTACGAACACACACGCGAAAAACACGCTAATCGGAGCTACGGTGAAAAAGATACATCTACCGATAGATTTAAAAGAAAACTATAGGCTTTGTTTATTTTAATTATAAAACATATATAAGATACTTCAGATAAATACCTTAATTGAGTTAAATCAAATTATACTTGATTTAGAAAAACAAAGTAAAACTAATCATATAATTGACCAAGGTGAAAAGGCTAAGTTACTTTTAATTAGAAAAATCCAATTGCATAATCATTATTCAAGTTAGGCGTTAAATCATAAAATTTTAGAGCTCTTGACATCGAAAACATTGATACTAATACGTAGATTATGTCGTTACGAATCTAACGCAGCTTGAACATGTCAAATCGGAGTTAAAACAGAGAAGATATGGCTTAATAAAGATAGTGGCAATTTTATAAATAGATGGAACTTGATTTTCGAATTTAAAATAAATAAAATCTGATTTTAAACCAGCAAAGGACTGTGGGTACTATTTAAAGAAAAGGTAGGGGCTCTTTAACAAAATTGCAGGGACGACGGGTTCTATTCTACAAAAATGCGAGGGCTCTTTTGCAAAACGGGCGGCGAAGGGGTATCTTCTAATCTAGGCCGTTGATCTCAGATAGGGCGGTGCAGATCAAATGGGGAAACGGGGGTCGCCGGAGCGGCGCTGTGCGCGGCAGCGCCACGGCCGGAGAACAGAGGACCTCGCCGGTGTTCGTCAATCCGATGTTCCGAGCATCATCGGCCACGGGATTAGCACGGGGAGGGAGAGTGGAGCGAGTAGAACTCGATTAGGGGATAGGGGAGACAAGCGAAGGCACAGAGGCGCGCGTGAGCTCGATCGGGCGGATTGGGACTCCGACGAAACAACAGCGATGGCACTACGGTAACAGAAGGCGAGAGAGAGAGAGCTAGCGCGGTACCATCTGCTTGCTTACCTCCTAACGAAGCTCGACGAGCGGTCCCGGACGACAGCGGAGCGGCGGAATTGCGAGGCGAGCACGGTGGCGGCGGCGGCTAGGGTTGCAGCAGCGCGGCGACTCGACGGATGCAGCTTGCTCTAGAGCTCGGTAGGGAGGCGGCACAATGCGGGCGGCTGCTATTTATGGCCCGGGGAGCATCTTGGCGCGCACGACAAGGCAGATGAGGCGGGGCGACTTCGGTCTCTCGGCGGCGGAGTCCCCTTCGGCTACGACGGAGGTGAAGGACGGTGCTGACAAGTGGGCTCGAGATGGCAGTGACATGGAGCGCGGGGCCGGGCTGTCAGCGACTGCGCGCAAGGGAAGAGGAGGCACGGTGCGGCGTGGCCTGCTTGCTGGGTCGGCTCGGCAGAGAGCGGGGTTGGGCCGCCTGCGGGAGAGAGGGAGAGTGGAGCAGGCCAGGGGGGAAAGGGAGAGCGGGTTGTGGGCGCTGTCGTCGGCTGCAGCTTTGGCTCGGCTGGGATGCGGCCTTTGGGCCTTGCGGAGCTGAGCGGGTCGGCGCAGTGGAGAGAGGGAGAGATGGGCCGCGGGGAAGAGAGGGAGAGTTTTCCATTTTCCTATTTTCCTTTTTCAATACAAATTCAAATACGATCCCAATCAAATTCAAATATAGCTTCAAATATACTTTTCAATTCAAATAAAAATGAGAAATTTTGGTAAGCTTCCCAAAAATAAATTTTACAACTTTTTTTAAACTCTTTTATTTTCCAATTCTTTTTTTCTTTCTTTTCTTTTACTTCAAAGCCATTTTTAATTTATTTCCAAAAGCAATTCAAACCATTTTGAATCTTGATTCAAACCACTCAAGCAATAAATCAAATGCACTGGCATGTATGCACAACCATGTTGCTACTCCTTATGATGAATTTTAATATAATAAAAAATATTCTTTTTCCTATATTTCATGAGCACAAAATACAAAATTAAATCAATTTATATCTTTTTCGAAAAGAGCAAATTTTAGGGTGTTACAACCCCAGCAGCATTTGCAGATACTGGCATAGACATGTATGCTTCCGGTTGAGAAATAGCCTAGGAAGTAAATTTTGCTTTGAATTCATTTGTTTGGAAAGTCCAAATTTCAAGTGCTACTGTTTTTCATGCCTTTGCCAATGTTTGTTCACCCCGGCAGCATTTGCAGATACATGAATAGCATGGACGTGTACGCTTCCTGATTGAGCAATAGCCTGGGAAGTAAAGTTTTGCTCTGAATCCATTTGCTTGGAAAGTCCAAATTTCAAGTGCTGCTGTTTTACATACCTTTTCCAATGTTTGTTCACCCCCAGCAGCATTTGCAGATACATGAAGCATAGAAACTTAAGTGTTTTGTAGTCTCATCACATGTTTCACGTTACAAAAAATCAAGACACTGGCAGACAGATTAACTTCAGGAAGAAAAAACTATGAAACTTCTCTGAACACACGTTGAAATTAGAAATATATTGTGCAAGGGATACTGATAGAGCAAATGGCAAGGCAAAGTGCTTCAAGATGCCTAAAATTCCATCCCGACCACGGTAGATCACACAAAACGATGTTTTAGCCTGTGAGTGCCATTACTTTGTGCGATTGCGGCACTTCACCAGGCCAGATTGGTAAGTGGTTTCCCTTGGCACTCCTGAATGCAGCTCGTAGCTAAATCTCTCAGTTTTTCTTCAACGGTCTCCATGGGAAGGGAACCATCGACCACCTTCATCAGAAACAAAATGAGTTGTCATTCAGATTCAGTAACAAAAGAAGCACATCAGTGGTCTGGAGCACTATCAAAAACTCAAAAATAAAAAATCACAAGTACTAAACACACTACAAATTTCTTCTCTGTTACAAATTTCTAGTTTGCACACAATAAATAATCAAGTAGTGCACACGCTATGGATTTCTTCTCTGTTGGGAGCTTCTATTTTCTGCACAAAAATATTAGCTCTGACATTTCACGAATACCACTGCAAATTGAACAATATAGGTATTAAATCTGTTTCACTTGCAATTCCAGACCATTGAGTTGGCACATGTCATGACCTGAGTCATTGGCACAAGAGGCAAAGCAAATACAAGGACCTCATCTTGGTGATTCTTGCAGAAACTGAGTTACCTTCCATGTCAAATCACGGAGTGAATGGTAATGCTCTGCAACTTTCTTTTGGAACTCTATCTTTTCATATCGCTCACCTCCATAGCCTCCTCTTTCAGCCGCTTTCTGTAACAATAGATTCACATTGACCATTATGAAACAGGAGGATAATCCATGTATACTATTGAGGTGAACGCAGCCTAGGTGACAGGTAACATCAAACAACAACTTAACATTACAGACATCATTTAGCATTAAAGACGTGTGGGCAAAGAAATTTGCTGAACAAAATGTATTCTTCACTTCCTGCCTTACGAGAAACACTTCAGAATCAAAGTGGATTGTTTTTAGTGTTCCAAAACAAAAATTAATGTCAGACCATATTAATTGGGTTAAGCCCAAACAGTGGCCATCATCACCTAAAATGTGTAAGAAAATGGAACAGAAGTCAAACACATCAAGCACACCATAAGCATAACAAACATCGAAAGAAAACTAAAACATGTCATGTTGGAACACCATAGGCTAAGTGTGTATAAATAGAATACCTCTGGCTGTACATCAAGATATATTACAAGGTCTGGAGCAATAAGTCCATTTTCTGGAGCCTGAAAAATAGGATAAAATTGGCGTCACTTCTTAGCTTGCAGCTATTGACATGAAAGAGAGCAAGTCATTACTCATCTGAATGGCACACAGCTCACCTTGCACCACTCAATGTCAAGCCCTTTAGCAGCTGAGAACGCCACGCCTGAATAAGAATAGCGGTCTACAATGAGAGTAGTTCCACTGACTAGCTTGCTCTCCATCAAAGCTCTGGTAGTGACAATCCAAATTAACAGATTCATAGTAACATACAGGCATCTCGAATCTTCGTATACGGTGTGCTACGAAAGCCTCAGATCGATAGAATAATAGATAAGTTACGTGGTGAGAAGAGCACACCTACCTTTTCTCCCAGCGATTGGCGCTGAAGAGCAGATGAATCGTCCTGTCATCAAGCTGCGACTCGTTCGCGAGGTAGGCAGAGATCATCTGCCCGACACTGGTGGCCCTGTCAGGGAACCTCCATCCTTCGGCATCGTAGCCTTTGCCTTTGAGGAAGGACAGCAGCCGGGCACACTGCGACGATTTCCCGCTCCGGTCCAGGCCTTCCAGGACCACCAGAGCGCCACGGCCGCCCTTGCTGCCCAACGTCTCCATTCTCACGCCCTGAAACGCCCTCCGGCGCTGCGCGAACAAGCCGAGGGGAGAGGGTGCTGTCGCCGCCGCCGCCGCTTTGCCGACCCTGCAGCAGAGATTGGAAGCAAGCACCGTCACCCCCAACGATTCGATTATTACGCGCACGTCTTCGGGTTGGGAAAGGCATCTGGAGGGACCGGGATGACTCACCTGCTCCACGAAGCTGCTCTTCCGGCGAGCCGAACCAATGCAGTCATGCACAGCTGGGTATTCCGGTTTGATCAGACTCAAAAGCTGAGAGCAGAGATGAGGAGGCGCGAGAGGTTGACCGGCGGCGCGGCACAGGAGGAGAAGAAGGGGGAAGAAGTCGAGCTCAGGCGCCCGCGAGGAAGGCTACCGCCTGAGCTCGATGGAGAGCAAAGGCTATGGAGTAGTATGATCCGTGAGCCGTTGGAGGCGGCGCTAGGCTGAGGTCGGCGGCGAGCACGGGAGGGGCTGGAGACCTGGATCGCCGCGGCGGCGGCGGCGGTTGTTTCGGGAGGGAAAGAGGAAGAGCGGGGTTCCTACTTTCCAGGGAGGGAGTCGGATCAGTAGGAGCGCCTGATCTGAACCATCCATGAGGCATCGCACGTCCGGAAAATAGAACAGATCATCCTACGTCCGCAAAAAAAAAAAAAAAAAGATTTGATATGATTAATATATCTAGGGCATGTTTGGAACACATGAATTGAAAATATAGGAATAGAAAAAAAATACAGGAATATGATAAATATGTAGTGGTAAAACAGAGAAAAGGAAAAACGCAGGAAATAACTAAGAATGAGCATTTGGAACGCAGGAATATATAGCACAGGAATCATGAGACTGTGAATGCTATAGTCATTATTAGTGCTTAATGAAATGATAATATATGCTGTATTAGCTGCTCGATTCTCTCTTGTCATTTGATTTTCCTCGGGCAAGCGCGAAGGAAAACAAAACCAGAGGTAAGAGCAGATGTTTTTTTTCCTATGAAACCGTGTTGTTGCTACAGGCTTCCGGAGGAAAGGGTCTGCTCATTTCCTTCGTTCCAAACAGTCTCCTTGTCTTTCTTTCCTCCGTTTTCGTTTTCTTCATTATTCCTACGAAAAACCTTTGTTCCAAACAGGTCCTTAGAAAAATCATATCTTTTTTTACGAAATTAAATAAAAATAATTTTTATATAAAAATTATAGATCTCAACGAGATCTACAACTTTCTAGTTTTGAGTTTTTTCATATGAAGTCGTTATGATGCTCAAAAAAATTAATGACATATTTAGACTTAAGGGTATTTTCGACTTTTCACACCTGCAGTTTGACGGCGTCAGAGCCCAAACTGACGGCAGTGGCATGGAGGGCACAAAAAAGTTGTAGCAGTGGCGCTGAAGACCGTTGAACTTTTCCAGAAGCACATAGGGCATTGCGATCTTTTTTAATGGCACACAAGGAATTAAATCTTTTTTTTAGAATTTTCGGACTATATATAAAACAAATATAGACTTGATTTCAACCAGAATTGTGACGGGTGCCTAATATTTTGTTTGCTCTCTTGAAATTTATCGATATAATACTCGATAGATTACACACTAGGGGTATTTAACCACCTAATGATGAAATAACATTGGTCAAACATCTTTAAAAAGAATGCACTCTCTCCGTTTTAAATTATAAGTCACTTTGACTTTTTTAATACATCGATTTTGCTATGTATCTAGATGCAGCGTATGTCTAGATACATCGTAAAATTTATGTACCAAAAACGTTAAAACAACTTGCAGTTTGGAACCGAGGGAGTAACGAAGAAGACAACAGCAATGCTCTTCATTGAACGTGAAAGCCATAGTGCTGGAAGTTGAAGATTGGATGGTTTCACTTTTCTTAGCGAGTTTTGGTTGTGGTTGCTGACTCTAGGCAACATCTATGTATCAAAAAGTCAAAGCGACTTACAATTTGAAATGGAGTACTACTTTAATTTTGAGATGTGCTACTCCCTCTATTTTGAAATCCCTTGGTCCCAAAACTTCACGTTCTGAGAAACAAATAACCCTAAATGTGACAAATATATACAAAAAAATGCTAATGTTATGATGCAAAACTTATCACAAAATCAATCATAGTATATTTTTATTATAAAGATGTAAGTGGTGATACTATTTTCTATAAATATAACCAAATTTGAAATTATTTGATTTATCGAAAAGTGATATTTTCATTCTTTCAGGACGACAAGTGTAATAGTGTATAAGGCATGCATGTACTTCAAAAATTTTAGCTCTGTTTGATGACTAGCATAATCATATGAAATATTTATAGTATAAAAATAGTTAGAGCATCTTCAAGAGTTCCTAAGATTTTTTTTTTCCAAAATCATGGAGTTTTCCAACTTGCCAAAAAGTATTGAGAGAAATAAATAAGATCATCTCTAATAGTTCCCAATAATTCACTCCTAAAATAAAGAAGATAATTTTACATCACGAATCCGCTTGTACATTTGCATTAGGATACATTTGCATTAGGAACCCTTTTCTACTTTTTATTCTTTCTCACGTCCTTCCACCTTAGATTGGAAGACCAATACACGTGTCTTCCACGTGCGGATATATCCGCTCTTTCGGTGATTTTTTTCCGAGTGCCAAAAGATTAGGAGGTGGGATTAGGAACTCCTGGAGATGGGTTTTTCTATTCCTGCCAAAAAATTCTAGATTGAAAGGTTTTATTGGGACTCTTGGAAATGCTCTTACATTGTATTTGTATTCTAAAATACTTTTTTAGTAATTAAACTTTTGCTGTCATAGATTATATATGAGTCCAGAGAGAGTACACGTGCATGTATATGAGTGTGAAAAAGAAGATATTTCCTCAGTCCCATCAATGTAATTGTACATTTAAGAAAACAAAATCAATTTTTCTTAAGTTTGACCAAGTTTATAAAAAATTTATATTACTATTTATATTTCCAAATAGTTCTATTATAAAAATATTGTTTATAATTAAACTAATACATTTATTCAGTACCATAAATATTAGTTCTTTCTTGTATAAATTTAGTCAAATTTGATTTTTTTTATTCCTCGAGAAGCGATAATCGATGATGATCCTTGTCTATCCCAGTACCAGCAATCGGATCCACAAACGGGACAGGCTAAATATTAGAGGCTAAAAATTTTATTAGTCACACATTAATAATAGATATAACAAAAAATATAATTGATGATATCAATTCACATTATAGATTGAAATGAAATGAATGAATATAACGCATACCGTTCATTCCTCAGGCCGTTGTGAGGCAAATTTATCATTTAGTTTCTTTAAGCCTTGAAAGTTATTTAGTATCTTTTTCATCTTCCACCGATGCAAATAAATTCCGCTCAATATAGCATATCAGTTTGAACCGCCAGGTATGAAGACTAGTTTAAATACCAAGAAAATCCAAAAGGGACAAAACTGAGTGACCTTCAATCCATAGGAACACGAGCAACTGAGATATGAGCACCAGAGTCCAAATGGTTCTGCAAAACAGTGTCATATAATACAGTATATCTTTGCCAAGCAATGAAAAATAAGACTGATACTACAACATCAACATGGACTCTTGGTGCAGATAGGAGACCTGCACGAAGTCCATGTAATCCATCCTATATAGATGATCACCAGACCTTTTTTTCTATACAGTTGAGTTAATTGGACGTTATCATGGAAATTATGGAGGCCTTTGGGGACGCTACTGGGCTGCGCATTAATATGACGAAGAGCACGGTGGCTACAATTAGATGTGCATATGGAGGAGGTGCTCAGGGAGTTCTTGGGCACCAGGGTGAACTTCCCTATCCAATACATAGGACTGCCTCTGAATCTAGGGGGGATATGAATGGTGCATCTCCAGTACATCCAAGATCGGGCAGAAGGGAAAATAGCTGGTTGGCAAGGGAAGTTGTTCACCGTTGCTGGAAGAAAGGAGTTGATAAGGTCGGTGGTTACCTCGCTACCTGTATACCACCAGATTACAGCTATCCAACCTCCCAAAAAGTTCATAAAGGAACTAGACAAGCTCAGACGTCGTTTTCTCTGGGCCGGTGACAGACAGCTCACCGGAGGAAAGTGTAAGGTGGCATGGACAAAAGTGTGTACGCCTACAGTAAATGGAGGATTGGGAATTAAGGATCTCGAGGCTTTCGGTCGATCGCTACAATTAAGATGGATGTGGTATGCTTGAGATGACAGGGACCGTCCTTGGAAGGGCCTGCAGCTTCAAGCTGACAATGAAGATAGGCGCGTTATCAGCGCCGCGACTAAGGTGGACCTTGGCAATGGATGCAAGGCTTCCTTCTGGACATCACGATGGCTAGACGGAGACGCCCCCACAGACTTATTCCTGAGTTGTTCAGACACAGCAAGAGAAAGAACCGCACTGTAGCGGAGGCGCTGACTGCCAATACTTGGGTCAGGGATATAGACCATAATATGAGCCAACAAATTATCGCAGAGTATCTCCAACTATGGGATAAATTACAATCTATAGTCCTTATGCAGTCGGAAGAAGACCGAATTATCTGGACTCATTCGTCGAATGGGGAATATTCAGCTAAGTTTGTGTGGCAGAACCGCCCGAAATAACATGCTTACGGAGGTGCTCGTCTTCCACCAGACACTAAGCACCCCGAAAAGCAAGCTACAGCGTGCGGTATCCGTCGGGCACACCCCATGGGAGAACCCGAAAGATCCACATTTTTTCCAAGGATCCAATAATGAGAACGGGTTACAATACTTGTCCATTTCATACATCAGAGTTTCTTAAAATTACATTATTACAATACCAAATGTCAGAGTGCGGAATGATAAACAGCGGAATTTAAAATAAACATCTAGCGATAAGAACGAGGATCCGTCTGAGCCCACCAGAAGAATCCTCCACACAAAGGTACTTCTCATGCATCACCTGCAACAGGGGTAAATAAACCCTGAGTACACAATGTTCTCGCAAGACTTATCCGACTAGTGGGAATAATTTTCTGACTCCAAGGAATATGATAAGCTTTATGATTTGCTGGTTTTCTTTTAGCAGAAAACAATACTAATAGTGAGTCCTTATTTATGTTATTATTATCAGTCGCATTAAGTTATTATCTATCCAGTCTATATAAGCACATGTTCTACTTTCAAGTAAGAGTTGAGCAATTAGATCTATTTCATCACCTTTCATCTTTCAGTTCTTTCTATGGTGCTAGACACGAAAC